ATTCGAACCAATCCACGGCTGGACCCTTTTTCGGCGTGACCGCTCGTGCTGGTGGTTGTGGCTGAGGAGGTTGCAATGACCTACGACGAACAGCAAGCGGTTCGTCATCATCGGAATGTGAGACTCCGGCAGAGGGTGAACTTGAAGAAGGCGACCCAGATTTCTTGCTCGTCACCTTCTCAACGTATTTCATGTCTTCGACGGACATCTTCTCGGCAGGCACCTCAATGACGACTCCATTGACCTTGTGCAACCGAAGTTTCCCGTCTCGATAGCCAAGTAGTGCGGCATCCACGCGAAATTGGCCTGAACGATCGCGCCATGTGCGAGTCTTCTCGGGAGGAGGCGCACCCGCAGTGGAAGAAGGACGACTGGAGCTCTCCCCATTTGTCTTTGAACTTTTGCTCGAAGTGCTCTGGTTGCTGCTATGGCGTAGGAGTGAGTATCCAACACGGAAAGGTGAGCCACGGGTTAACCTACCTACTTCTCCTCTTCTCTGCTTCTTCTCTCTTCGTCTGTTCCCTTCTCTGCTTTTCAGCAACCTTCTTCTTCTCGTCCTCGAGCTCTTTCTCCTTCTGCTCTTTCTCCTCCTTTCGTTTCCGCTCCGCTAATTCTTTCGCTTTAGTACGTTCCGCTTCCCGTTTCTTCTGCTCCTTCTCGTGCTGTTCGCGTTCCTTGCGTGCACGTTCCCGAGCGATACGCTCTTGCTCGAGACGCTCTGCTTCCGCTTGAGCTGCGGCATCCTGAGCGGAAGTGTCAACGTCTTCAACTTCGTCTTCATGTGCATGCGGGTTTGTGGCAGTTCCTGCAACCAGCTACGATTGATGTTACCTTCACATCTTGGCAGAATTATGCGCTTCGGTGCTCACCTCAAGATATGACGCCGGGACAACACCCTCCCCACCATGCGCATTTCGACACTTCCACCACTCGTCTCCATCTCTCTCCAAGACAAAAAGTTGTTCGCCTTCCTGCACGCTCAACTCATCCTCTCCATCGGCAGGGAAGTCGTACAAAGCAGTAGCCATCTCTGCTCCTTCTGTGGTATGCGAGCCTGAAGCGACCCCATTGCGTTGAGGTACGTCTTGCTCCTCTTCTTGAGCGGGTTCCTCGCTATACTCTAGTTCCTCTTCAACACCATCTTCCGACGACTCCCGGGGTGGTATGACTTCTGGCTCCTCTTCTGCGAAGTGAACCTTGGGGCTGACCCTACCCGTAGGTGGCTGCGGGGGAGCTGGCAAGGTTTCGGAGATCGACGGCTGCGCGAGAGCCTTAGATGACTCTAGTTTCGCCACAATTGCCTCCGCAGTATCTTTGGAGTGAGCATTAAAATGGAGGGAGATTGGTGTAGGCTCAGCAATATCGATCAATACATGTTTGGATTTGTCGATTCGAATGGTCGAAATTGAGGAAGTTTGCCACTTCTGGACGGGAGTCTAGAAGCCAATCAAAGCGTTTGAAAGGGGTGAGAGCCGGTCAAACGAACTGTACCTACCTTATCAGACTCGCTCGCAAAGAAAACAGCACCATTCCCGACGCCTAATGTCCCTTTCTTCTTCTTGCCTTTCTTATCGACCTCTGATACAGCCCAGGTCTTGATATCATCGGCGTTGGCCTTGGTAGCTGCGACACGGTCGGCAGGGTCGACGTAGGTGCTGATGGGACGTGTAGGTTTGGGTGGCTGTGGGAGGAATAGGGAAAATGATTATGCAGTCAAAACGGATTAGAACGTACCGAAGGGGGTACGACGATTTGAGAAATGGAGGGAGGGGAGGCGGCAGGTTCATCTCCAGTTGCCTGAACATATGATTAGTAGTCGTCTGGAAATATAGAATCAGAGACAAAGCGTGCCTCTTCCACATAGTTCGCAGGGACGTAACCGGCCAAACCGCCGTCAGTACGACTCTGAACGAGGATCCAGTCCTCCTCCTTAGCAAAGACATCCAGGATTTCGTCTTCTCTGATCGATAATTCGCCGCCTGAGCTTGCCTCGTAGTCGTAGATTGCCTTGACTGTGGAGATAGGCTCCGCCTGATGGCAAAGGTGAGCGAAGCTCCGAGGTGTGACTTGAGTAACAGACGAACCGGCTCGACATAAGCTGAAGGGACGAGACCAATGGGTCCTTCATCCTCCTGAGAGTCTGTCTTCAACTTGACCTTCCACCAGCTATAGAATAGTCAGCATCAGCGGTGAATGCGGCGCGGAAAGATACTTGCTCGTCGTCCACTTTCTCGAGCAGAAAAAGAAGTTGATCTTCCTTGACAGCGATTTCGTCTTCTGCCTGAGGCTCATATTCGTATGAAGCCTTGATTACCGCCAGATAATGGTCCGCCATATTGTAGGGAAGTTGAGATCGCCCAGCTGTGCGGACTGTGCGTAAGTAACACGTTATCACAATGTGACTAATGAGTTACAGGTCCGTGTAACATGCTGGTCCACCTAGTCCAGCGGATATGTCATATTTTTCCCAATATAGCGATCATTAGATTTCAAGCTGATTTGTGTGATACCCTCGGTCGCGCTGTAGTGTGTCTAACTGACTGGGCCTGTAGATCCGCCTGCGTATTTGTTTCATCTCTTTCTTGTACATCTGGTTTATATCTTGTATCCCCACCTATGAGCAAGCTCAACAAGAACGCTTTCGAATTTGTGCCAGGCAGGGCTTTTCGGGTGCCCCAGCCAGGAGGCACCATTACGCCCCCTCCACAGCCGATCGAGCGACCTCAGCAGACAGAGGCTCCTGCTCCCGCTCCTACAATCTCGCTGAATATCGGCGGATCAAGGCCACCTCCCCCAGCCCAGCCAGTCGAGCGTCTACCTCCCGCTGAAGCTCCTGCACCCCCTCCTACCATCTCGTTAAACATCGGTGGTGCTAAACCTGCCCCCGCCCCTGCACCAATCGCACCATCTCCTATTCCCGCTGTCGCTGTCGCTTCCCAGCCATCTCAAACGCAGACATCGCGATCATCAGCCGCTGCATCGACGTCTGCTTCTCCCGCCCCTTCCACTGCATCCTCTAAAACATTCACCACAGAGAAGGCAAAGACAGATACCACAGCGATAGCTCAGGAAGTTCAGAATCTTGCCGATCAGGAGACTTTGAAAGATCTCTTCGGCGATAGTAAGTGACCCCCGCCTTTATCGTTGTTTTACATTTTCATCTTGTCCAGCCAAGGAGCATCTCAACATCGTCTTCATCGGTCATGTCGATGCCGGGAAGAGCACCATGGGCGGTAACATTCTATACCTCAGCGGCATGGTGGACAAGCGTACGATGGAAAAGTACGAGCGTGAAGCCAAGGAAGCCGGTCGAGAGACCTGGTACCTGAGTTGGGCGCTTGACTCAACTCCTCAAGAACGTTTGAAGGGTAAAACACAAGAAGTCGGTCGTGCATACTTTGAAACATCATCTCGGCGATACACCATTCTCGATGCACCTGGACACAAGACATTCGTTCCATCGATGATATCTGGCGCTGCACAAGCGGACGTCGCTATCCTCGTCATTTCCGCTCGAAAAGGAGAGTTTGAGACCGGGTTTGAAAAGGGTGGACAGACGAGAGAACATATCATGCTGGTCAAGACGGCCGGCGTCTCCAAGGTCGTGGTGGTAATCAACAAGATGGACGATCCCACAGTGGAATGGGAACAGGCAAGGTACAATGAGATCAAGGACAAGTTGACTCCCTTCATCAAGGCAGCTGGGTTCAATCCCAAAACCGATGCTACTTTCGTGCCCGTTTCCGCCTACACTGGCGCTAACCTCAAGGACCGAGTAGCAAAATCTGTCTGCTCTTGGTGGAAGTGAGTGTACCTCTACCTCTACCTCGTCCCTGTTTCTGACTCGCATGCCGCCGCAGCGGTACTTCATTCATGGAACACCTAGACAAGATGCCCATGATTGAGCGCAAGATCAATGCCCCTCTCATGATGCCAGTGTCCGAGAAATACAAAGACATGGGTACAATCGTTGTCGGGAAAATCGAATCTGGTCACTTGCGGAAAGGCGATTCATTAGTTCTCATGCCCAACAAAGTCACTGTCGAAGTGGCGGGCATCTATAACGAAATGGAAGATGAGGTCGATCGGGCGCTTTGTGGAGATAACGTCAGGATTCGGTTGAGAGGCATTGAGGATGAGGATATCAGCCCCGGTTTCGTCCTTACCAGTCCCTCAAGGCCTGTACACGCTGTCAGACAGTTCGAGGCTCAGTTGGCGATTTTGGACCACAAGAATATCATCTGTGCAGGATATTCCGCCGTCATGCATTGCCATACCTTGGCTGAAGAAGTGACTTTATCGGTCAGTTGTCTTGCTTCCCTCGAACACCGATGTTTGACGTGTTTCGGTAGGCCCTCCTTCACTACTTCGATAAGGCAACTGGCCGTAAATCGAAGAAACCACCCCAATTTGCAAAGCGAGGTCAGTCTGTTTGTCGCCTATCGTCCGACATGGCTAATTTGGTCACCTGCCACTCAACCAGGACAAAAGATCGTTGCGTTGCTAGAGACCGCTCAGCCAATTTGTGTGGAACGCTTCGCAGATTATCCACAGTTAGGTCGGTTTACCCTACGAGACGAAGGTATGGGTTTTCTTGCACCCCCTTTTCTCAAAATTCACCGTGTCTGGGATATCCACCAGGCAAAACCATCGCCATTGGAAAGGTGACGAAGCTCATCGAAGGGTATGTGGAGGAAGCGACCGAAGGTGTTGGCAACCTTGTAGTGTCGGGAGGGAACGTGGCTGCCTAGATAATACGCAGGAGCGTAGTTGTGTCAATAGATCGTCCGCGTTGTACAGATCTGTGACTATCCCCCTAGTAGCGTCCAGCTTAAACACCATACTGGACTCGACGGGTGGACTCGATGGACTGATTACAATAATGCGAGGATGAACAATCAACAATGGCACTGGCCCTCGTCTTCTGAGAGGCTGTGGTACCGATCTCAGACTCCCTGTATTCCCACTCAGCAGCAGAAAAATAGTGCAAAAGATGACATTGACCACCGCAGGGCTCGAACCTGCAATCTCCTGATTCGTAGTCAGACGCGATGCCATTTCGCCAGGCGGCCATGATATGCGGTTCAAGAGAATAATTATGACTCCATGGTTGTAGATATAAGTTGATACAGAGCGTCTAAATCCCTCCCAAATGATTGATCTTCTCACTGGCCCACAACAACAAGTCGTTTCTGAGCAACTGAAGAATCATAAGTGAATCTTTCGGACTGTCTGCTCCAGCGCTCCCTAGCACCGTCACGGCTTCATCGAATGCGCGCTTTGCTAGATGGCAGGCGCGCTCTGGGCACTTGTAAATGTCGTGGTAATACACAGAAAAGTTGAGAGCCAGCCCGAGCCTTGTCGGATGGATGGGATCAAGTGAGGAGAGAGCGTGCCGGTAGGCCGTCTTGTAGGCCTCGAGAGCTTGTATCGAGTATGGGACCCTCGCGTCCCCATCCCCGTGGCCACAGTACTCTGCAAGGTATCGGTAATAATCAGCTTTTCTATTTGAGCAACAATGTCAGCGATCAAGACACGTCAGAAAGGAAACGTTTCGGCCCACGTCTTGCAATACAGGACTTTCTCCTCCCCGACGCTAGCTGAAGGGATGAGGTATCGATCAAGGAGCTGGATTAAGTCGGCGCAGATCTCTGCGAATTCGTGCGTTATCCGCTCCTTCTCCTTTCGAAGTAACGTTGCTTCATGGGAGTCGGAAGCTACTCCTCTCTCCGTAGACTCAATCATCCGTAAGCTGGTGCGAAGAGCACCCGTGATCATCTTGTATGCGATGAAGAGAAGTCCCCGCTCTTCTCCCGTAAGTCGTCCTTTGGACGAGCGAACACTTTTCACGATTTCCGTGATGACATCTGCGATAGAAGCGTTGGAGCGAAGGAGTCACATTTTTTCAGGAGAAGCTTACCCTCGTAACGTCCAGATTGCTCCGCCAACTTTGCAACAAATGTTCTCTTCTCCCGAGGTGTCATGAGAAATAGTAAAGAACTGTGCACACAGTAGGAATTGGTGGTGTAGCAGACTCGGGAGCTCGTCATTTGATCCATCCAGGGCCAGGGGTGTTGTAAACCCACAACCCAGGGCAATGAAACGTAGATGAAAAGGATGAGGATGCGAAGCAAATTGCTAGGAGAACTCCCGGCGATCGCGATTGGGCACGGGGTAACGGGCATTAAGGCAGTCGAAAGATTCTCCAAATGAATGAGAACGGTTGAGGCCGTTGGGTCCGACAGTATTGCACGCGCACCGCGGCAGTATTCAAGCCAAGGGTTTAGTCTCGCGAACTCGAATTAGCAAGAATCGAAGCTGATGTGTTGCGTGAATAGAAGGCATACATAAATCTCCCAATAATATGAAAGATTGTAAAGCCAAAAGGAACCAGTAAGAATCATGACGTGTCGAAAAACTCGCCTACGATACGGGCAAAGATCTGAGTTGCCTTCTTTAAATCATCAAGCTCAGCGTTGCTGAAGCTAATTCGGAAGTGTCCGTCGCGAGCACCATCCGGAGAATCTTCAATGTCGGCCGCAAAGAACCACCCTGGACCCAGCACCACACCAGCTTCGGCAAGGGCGACCCACAGCTTCATCTCGAGGGTTTCGTCTCGATCACCGTAGGACGGATAGGATTGGAAGTGGATTTTAAGCTATGGGAAACGCATCAGTATTGATCTCACGAGATCAGCAGTCCATCACGTACCCAGACGAACATTCCTGATGTGGGAGGTACAAAGCTGAAAAGGGGCTTGCGGAGTGCAACCGACTTTTCAGACATGACGGAACCTTGGGATGGAGGTTTCGAAAAAGCGACATAGACGTCACAACCTGTCCAACAACCCTCGGTTGCGACTGATGGCTTCACATCGAATTCATCCAGTAAGCAATCGATGAAGTAGTCCCTTCTCATCTTGTATTGCGCACCGAGACCTGGACGGGACTTATCAGATGGTACACTCACCAAGAGAGGACGTCTTACCTCTTAGCCATCGAATATATCCATCATACTTCCAGTTTATCAGCAACTGTGTTATCAACGACTACGTAAAATTCTGGTTGAGCACCGTCCCAATTGTAACCGAATTGGCGTTTACCTGACCAAAACCGCATGGCGCTTGGGTAGAAACCTCACCTGCCCTCTCCAACCGCTCGGCAAACACCGGGTTACAGGTGAACCAACCTAATCGACTTCCTGGAGCGATAGTCTAAAACACATGATTAGGATGAAAATAAGATGCAGACATGAGGAGATATAGCGTGCTTTGGAGAATGTATCCAGGCGGACGACACGGCCCTGGTAGTCAATTCTGCGTTACCGCATGAGATGGGTCGAATGAACGGCAGATGGCCTAACCTTAGATAGCTTGGGGCCAGTGACGATATATATCGGCTTTCAGCATCTAAAGTCGTCGAAGGCACCTCAGGAACACGACGGGCCTTGGGAATGTATTGGCCCTCTTGCAAGAAGAAGTAAGGGTCGTCCTCCACGATGATAACATCTAAGAACGATAGTGGGCATAACGTTCAAGGTGGCTCCATGATCACTGACCATATTCAACGCAGATGTCATAGATTTCCTTCTTGCGCGAAAGACCCATGGTCTAAATGGAGGCTCAGCAGGAGTTCATCTGAGGAGAAATCGACTTACTGCACCACTAGGATTCTGCCCAATAGGAACTGTATACATAACATGAGGTCTAGAAGGCTCGTGAACACACTCTCGTCGGTGATATGTACGGAAGAGGCCTACCTTGGTATCCCACGAACCTTCTCATCCCATTGCTCCAAAGTAGCCCGTAAACTGTCACTCCTCATCCCCTCCTTATCCATCGCAATAGGAACAGCCTGAATTCCCACAGGGGCAACGCTTGCCAGTGCGGACGGATATGTCCATTCCTCGGTGAGGATCCCTTCGCCAGGATTGCAGAGAGTGGATGCAACTCTGGACCAGCTATTGGGGAAGCAGAGTGCTGTCAGAACTGGTTAATCTACAAATTGGGTAACATACCCATCTGTGTTTCCGGTGTGAACTAGCGTCGTATAGTCACTGTACGCAGGCTGATATACACGATCCACGAAATCTTTCAAAAAGCCTTGAAGTTGAGGAAGACCCGTCGCCGTGCCATATTGCAAAGCCGCAGAAAGATTCACTTCGTCAGGCCTGGATGGATATTTTGGGATGGATAAGTGGCTTGTCTTCTCTTTTGAAGGAGAACTAGCGCCAAATATCTTCCATAGCCAGGATAATGATGACGACTGCTCAGCAACCGATACCGGGAAGGACTCAGAAACAAGTGCCTCCCCGGAAATTGTCGAGAAAGGGAAATAGGCAGCGCTGGGTAGGCCTAACTCACATCCATCAGTACAGTCATAGGTAGCGACAATTCGGACTGACCTCCTGCCAAACTGATAACCCCGGGCCTTCCCATATACTTAGACAACCCCTTCAAAGGAGAGGTCTGACGGGAACGCGCCAAATCCGAGATGTGATACGAGAGGTCAATAGCATTCTCCTTTTTCTCAGAGTTCATCGCAAACAGGCGGTTCCAGAAGAGGGCGTGGAGAGAAATGGGCAAGACGATAGTGGGTGATATACCCTCTCCGTCACAAGGGATTACTAACTAATCAGAATGGCCTTCGGCAAAAGATAAGGGCCGAAGGTCTTTTCTTGGGTGAATCGTGGGTACCACATGCGCACAGTCAACGGTGTCCACAGGACTCCTTTCCAGCACAACAGGAGACGAGAAACGAGCGATTACGTCGGACATCCGTTGGTTGGGAGAAGTCGCGTAGTTATGTACTAGTCGGTTGGATGGCGCGATGAAAGGTTCCAATTACGACTGGACGTTGATCATGTCAGCCAAATCGCACGGACATGCAGTTACCCAATTTGGACTTGGTGGCGTCTGTGTAGAGTTCCTGCAGCCACGCCCTGAATGATTCAGGTTGCGAGGCAAGTGAGACATACATCGCACTCAGTAGTACTCAAAACCCTCTACGCTGACCCATTGTAAGCGTCACACCGATGAATCTCAAGTTCCTCTCATACTGCAGCTCGGATTGTCCGATAACAATGGCGAGCCGATTCAAAGAAATTGATTCTTCTTGGTTTCCCCCACGCCTACATTAATAGTCAACGCCAACTGCGACCAATTCTCTACAATAAATCCATAGGGACCTTTAGAGCTGTGATACGGCAAAGTTCGCCCAGAAGGGGAGGCGCTCGTCTACGAGTGGCGCCGTGACAACGCTGTGCACGGTCGGCTTGACGTCGACAACCATTCCTGTCGCCTGCGAGTCAAACTTCCTCGACCTGGGGGGTTCCGCTCAACCGGCACCTTTTTCTCAATGGGCCATGGTCCCATCGTGCCATTGTATCAGGATTAGTGCAAATATCGATGGTTCAAGGAGGCCCATTCCCAAAGCTTCCCTCGTCAGTTCCACTTCGAACAGGGTATCCGAAGCGCGAACAATTGCTAGAGGCCTTGAAGTAGCTTCCGCTGCATATAGCTGCAATTGGCCATATCGTGAGGTTAACGATAGAAATTTTCAGAGGAAAGAACAAACATATATGTTGGCATTATCTGCGGCCCAGAGATATGTCGACCCATGCCACTGCATACATCGGACACCACTAGATCCTCGGCGGTGTCAGCGGACTCGGAGTACCCAGAGAGAATAGCAACGTACGGGCGTCCAGGTATAGATTTCAGCCACTCGGATTGCAGCATCGTTGACCCCAGTCCCTCGATCTCAACTGTGGTCAAGGAGTCATGCCAATTGATAATCCCGATGGCCCTATTCAGGGTCGAATCATGGAGTATTGTGACATAGGAATTGTCTGATATAATACGGTATAGAAGGCGGTCATGGGGCGCATATATCGAACAGTTGATACAGGCTCGATGTTTTGTTGGAGCGGGTACGAAGCGGAAAACCATGGAGTTGGACTTTGAGATAGGGCTCGAAGCGAAGCCTGGTAGTATGGACATAGGTAACGCGCCATATGTCGACTGAGGTGGAAAGCATCGCTGAGAAGGCCCAGCGAGATTTTTGGGTGATGT